ATTCCCCTGACATATTGTAAGTAACTCTAAGCATCTGTACTATTTTAGGTAATTACAACTTTTTATCACATTTATCTTTACTGAATTTAGAATATTGATACAATTCGAAACCAATCAGGTCTTCAGTCTTAGACATAATACATGTATATAGGTATATATTAAAAGGTAGTATCTGAGACCTTTTGTTTGCATACATATTTTTTTTTATATTTCATAAGTGGTATTAATTTTAATAAAAGGTTGCTAAAGGGAAAATTTGTATACGATTTTATTGCTACAATTTTCAGCATGAGTTTTATTAAATTATGTCATATAAATGCCAGATTTATTACTAGCGATTTTGCAGAGTTTAAACGATCTGTTTTTGATAATTTCGACATTATTCCCGTATAAGAGACTTGGCTTAATGCTAACATTTCAAACAAAAGTATAAATCTCTCAGGTTACAAACTCTTTCGCAATGATAGAAAAGAAAAGATAGAAGGAGGTGTTGCTATATATATAAGAAGCATTTTCAATGCCAAAATTATAAACAATTTATCCATTAATAGTACAGAACAGGTTTGGGTGACTTTTTGTGTTGAAAATGTTTCTTACGCACTTGGTTCCCTTTACACACCTCCTAAATCTTTTCCTATTAATTTCATTACAGCGCTTGAAGATGTTCTTAATATCATAGTTCCCCAATAGAATCACGTAATTTTTGCCGGAGACTTAAACATTGATTTGCTTGATTCAGAAAATAATTCATGTTCGTCCCTTTTATCTGTTCTTGATATGTTCGAACTGAAGCAAATTATTAATCAACCAACCCATATTAGTTCTACATCCAGTACGCTTCTCGACTTAATATGTCTATCAAATGAGCTAATAAGTGATAATGTGGCAACAGTGGACTGCTCGACATTCACTAATCATCATCTCGTTTCTTGTTGTATTAACACCAAAAAGATTAAGATTCATCCAAAAACGTACACTTATAGAGATTTTCGCAATTTTCACCACGATAGGTTTGTTCTAGATTTAACTATGGCAAATCTCAATTATATACACATGCTTAATAATGTCGATGACATGATTGAATACTTCAATGATACCTTGGTTTTTTTAATTTAATAAACATGTTCCCTTAAAAACTGTTAGAATTGCAAAGAAACCTGCACCTTGGCTTACTGTTAACTTAAAATTTATGATGTCTTTACGTGATAAGCTCTGGCTAAATTTAAAAAAACTAAGCAGATTATACATTTCAACTATTATAAAGATTTAAGAAATCTTACGAACAGGACAATAAAATTGGAAAAAAAGCCTATTTCGAATTTCAAATTAGAACACAAAGTAAAAATAACATCTGGAAACAGCTGAAAAAACTTAACGTTTATAATAAACAAACTATTGAAATTCCTGAGAATATATCTAATGTGAAGGAAATCAATGAATACTTCACGAATATTACACGGTTCAACAAAGTGCCTGATGATCAAATGTTACAGTTCTTTAGGAACTCCACCAAAAATAATGTTGATAGCTTAATAATAAATCCTGTAACAGAAGAAAATGTGTACAAACAACTATTGTCAATTAAATCTCAAGCAGTTGGAGCTGATGAAATAAGCATTAAAATGTTATTATATTCTTGTCCTTTTATCATTTCCTTTGTAACTTACATATTTAATGTCATAATCGAAAAGAGTACCTATCCCCGACTATGGAAAAAGTCTTTTATTATACCTATAGCAAAGAAATATTCACCTGAGGCATACTCAGATCTTCGACCGATAAGTATTCTATGTTGCCTTTCTAAAGTGTTTGAAAAACTAATTGATCTGCAAATTAGACATTACTTGGATGAGTTTTCCCTGCTTCCATCTTATCAGTCTGGTTTTAGAAAAGGACACAGTTGCACTACATCACTTCTAAAAGTCACTGATGATATCCATAAAGACTGCGATGATAATTTATTGACTATCTTAGTCCTTCTCGATTATTCAAAAGCATTCGATCTTATTAACCACAAACTCCTACTAGCGATCGTGCATTATCTTGGATTTTCAAGAAAAACTACCGCCTTAATAAGTAGTTATTTGGATGAGCGAACTCAAGCCACCGTGTTAAATAAAACAACTGAATTTTTAAACATCTGCTCTGGGGTTCCTCAGGGCTCAATTTTAGGACCTCTTCTATTTGCCATCTATACATCACAGCTGCCACTTGCTTTAAAATACTGTGCATCTCATACTTATGCAGACGACACTCAACTATACCTTTCCTTTGAAAAGGAAAATATTCAAGAAGCTTGCGTAAAAATTAATGCTGACCTCATCTCTCTTGCTAGACTTTCTGACAAATATTGTTTAAGTATAAATCCAACTAAATCCGTAGTCCAGTTATTTGGACGTCCTACAGCTAGAAAAAAGATTATTAATTATGTGAACATTAGCTTGGATGGTCAACAACTGCCGCTTCTTTCATGTGTTAAGAATCTAGGTATTCATATTGTTGAGAATTCAAGAGTAATTCTCAACGGTAGTTAAATTCAAATTTACCGCGCCAAATTTTCAATGCCCGATGAATATGCGCCAACTCGGTTCCCTTTAAAAATGCGGAAATAACGGTCAAGCATTATCTGCTCCTGGCGACACAGGACAGATGTGTCCCGAACGGCGTCAGTTATACAGCAGTTAAAAAGTTATACTAATCACGTGTGTGTGTGTGTGTGTTAGTGTGAAGATACCCTTTTATATTGGCGATACCCTATATCCCACTAAACCCAAAGTACCTAACTCTTTTTTAAAACACTTTTATTTCCGTGGTGACGAGTTCCCGGTAAAATATCAGAATTGCATCTCATATATCAGTGAAAGTACTAGTATAAAAAGTGTGAAGTGTAGTGCTCAAGGATTACATGTAAGCTTGGTACTGATGTAATAAAAAGTCTGGAAGTACCCTAAAACTTTCAAATATGCCCTTTATTTTCCCTGCGAATTATACCACCATTTTATTAGCTGTCAATTAAGCATTGTTGCCAGATTGTGTGCTGAGTTGCTTGGCTCTTATGTAAATATTGTCAACTGTTTTTTCTAATACTTAATATAGTAGTTATTCATAAACAGTAATATTTTATTCATATCCCCCTTCTTTCCCACCTTTCAGTAACCTTATTTTAAAAAAGTAGTTGAAAATCGAAGCATCATGTGCAGCCACGAGTCGTTGTCCACCGCTTAATACAGTCCACTTAAACTACGCATTTTAGGCCGTGTCCTGCACACATATAGATAATTCACTTCGCTTCTCGTCTCATGTGACAAATATTGCAAGAAAATCCTATAGTAGTTTAAAACTCCTATATGCAAATAAAAGCATATTGAATAAACGAACTAAAGCCATGTTATGTGATTCTCTTGTCCTATCTCACGCCAATTATGGCGATGTGGTCTATGGACCAAGTTTGTTAGGTGTTGATAAAACTCGCTTACAAAAAATACAAAATTCGTGTGTACGTTTTATTTGTGGACTTTACAGACGTGATCATACTAGTCAACACTTAAAGGAACTGGGTTGGATTAATATGGCGGAAAGAAGAACATTGCATGCATGCTCAATGTTTCGCAAGATTATGGTAAATCTAACACCTGCTTACTTATAAAATAAAATTCAATTCCGCACTGACGTCCACAACCTTAACATTCGTTTTAAATCTAAACTCACGCCGCCTTTACACAAAACAATCTTATATCAAGGATCCTTTTCATATTATATTTCCTGGCTTCTAAATGGATTACCGCTTAGCTACTCTAAATTTTCTCTTGGTAAATTGAAACATACATTAAAAGAAGACTTTTTAAATGACAAACTGCGCAATATCATTAAGTAATACGATAAGATAATTTTATTATATAGCATAATTTCATTATACACGTTTTTTCATTCTTCTATTAGCAATTTCTCGCCTAATATAAATTGTTTTTTATTATTTTTGTTTCTGTTATACTATGCCAAGTTTTGTAACACCCTAGTTAAGATTATATGTATTTTAAGTTAATACTTATTATTTTAGATATAATTTTAGTATTAGTTTTTCTTTTTCCATTTTTTTTTTTTAAGTTATTGAGGTTGAGTGGAAGAGCAGCTTCTATATTTGCTTATGCAAATCTGAAAGCTGAACTTTGCCTTTTGGCTAATTATTTTTAATAAATTATACTATTTTAATTTTGTAATTTTCACATGCCAATAAAACCATATTTATTTATTTATTTATTTATTTATTTATTTATTTATTTATTTATTTATTTATTTATTTATTTATTTATTTATTTATAATACAGGGTACAAGTTGTCTAATCTAAATACTAGTAGAACAAGAACAAAAGTTATCAAAAATACAAAAGGTTTCTTTTTAAGATGCACAATTTTAAATCAAATACCAAATTCAAATACCAAATACCTCTTATATTTAATTTTTTTTAATGCTTCTAGTAGATATATATTAGCTATTAAAGAATTTGCAATTATTTGGACACCCTGTACAATATAATTTTATAATATCATTGTTTTAATGCTCTGTATCACAGTAGACATATGTAATGAACTAAATATAATGCAACCATCTCTTTTAAAGTCAAATACATTTATTAATTTGTATTGCAGGTTAACGCAGTTTATGTCGCTCACCTATCTTCGTCCAGAAATGTCACTAAAGTCTGAGAGACCGTCTATGGCATTTATTTTATAGTTTTACTTTACAAAATATGTTTTTATCGTAATAAAAAAATTTCACAATTACACTCTTTTACATTTTTGCAAGACGGAAAAGTAAAATACGGCCCTGCTCAATTTTAGCGTCCACCTGCTTCTGTTTACATAAGGCGTAAATTAAATTTGAATAGACTTTAGCCCTATGTTTCTTTTCTGTATTATTCTCTATTCTGTGACTGGATTGTTCTAAACAAATACCCAGTGTAATATTTTATTTATTATCAAATTAATCGTTTTTATTCCAGATGCGGCAATGTAGCTGCAATCTTAGAACTGAACGAGCACCTCCAAAGAGATTTTACAATATTCGAAGCGGCTCCACAGGAAACCAGGGGCATACCTTCCAAGAAACCACAGGCGGATTATTTCCTGTAGAACTGTTATGTAGTATTAAATTAAGACCATGTTTTGTACCACAGAGTGTCTCACTGTACAGTAACGAACTTTTAACAGGTTAATTTGTAATTATGACTAATATTACAGCTGATTGTAGAGATATTCAGCTAGATTGAAATAATAATATTTAATGTTGATGAATTTTGTAACTGTAAATTTTTCTTGGACTAGTAATTTATTTTATTTTATTCTTAGATTTCTTTCGTGAAACCGACGTTTCTAATTTTTAACCCTTGATGGCATTTTTTCTCAAAAATTCTTTTATTTTAACTACACGCTTGACTTATCAAATTGTGATTTATGATTTATATCGACTTTTTCATATGCTAGATCTCGATTCTGCAACTAGGTTTTGAGATACAGGGTGTTAAAAGTTATTCTTAAAACGTTAAGTGACATGGTTCTCAATGACTATCTCATTTTGGATTACTAGAAAAAATTCTGGAACGGTTATAAGTGATGGCCATGGTTTTTCTGGTTAATTTGGGCTGAAAGGACAAACTATGGAAATCCCTTGGTGCTTAACGTGTTAAAAGAAGTGCATTAGATTTGTTTGCTTAATATTTTTTACATTCCTTAACCACACACACATAAACGACCAAAAATTAACAATATTTCTGCCGCGAAAAAAATCATGAATGACTGTAAATAGTCAATCTCTGCATATAAAAATATAACTAAATTTTTCATCCTGTATCTTAAAAACTGTGTCGAGTTTCTGGAAAAATTCATATATTTTACACTATAAAATCCTTTTTATTCAAATTAAAACATGAAATCTTCATTTTCATCATTTTTTAAATCTCTCAAAGAAAACTGCATTGCTGGTGACCTCACATCACTGAGTCTCGGTTATTTTTTTCAATTCTCAGTACAGCTATTCATTGTGATGTACAGTGGCTTCTCACATAAAAATTGGCCAGTTTATTGTGATGCTATGTCACTTTCTTTTAATGTATATTACCTTTTCACAGATATTGTGATGGCTTGCTTAGTCCAGTTTTTTCTGATGCTCATCGCCTTCTTACAGCTCTTAATGAGTCAGTTCCTTCTGGGTCGGTTTTTGCCAATGTCCATTGCATTTTCACAGCTTCGTTGCTGAGGTTATTGTGATGACTGGCTATATCATTTTCTGTTCTAAAGACTATAGACTTTTCACAGCTTAGGAGTCAGTTTGTTGTGATACTTATCATAGCCTTGCTTGGTCAGTTAGTTGTCACCTCAGTAAGTCAATTTATTGTGACGCCAGGTAATTTTTTACAGCTTTATAACGGTTT